AGATATCATCTTTAAGGACAGTGGACAGTAATTATATTCCCAAACATAAACGAAGTCCACAAATCAAGAGCCTTAAGCCATGCCAGAGCACCTCTGCTAAAATATACCCCTTTGAATCCTTAGAAATATTCAGTTTTACGGTTAACTTCAGAACATATTTGTTAGCAGGAACAGGAGTACAAGAGAGGTATGAAGGTCCAATCTGAAGTCCATGGGAATTTACCACTGACATAAGTTAGAGTATGGAAAACCTCCATACATCAGTCTGTTGAGTCCAGAGAGGTTTATTAGAAGTAGAACACAGAAGAAAAATAACTTAATGCTGAAATTAAACTGCACAGAGAAAGCACACAACTTTCATTCTAGATCTCACTTGGATTCCTCTGCAAATAAGATAACTGATTCTTCAGGCATTTCCAAGGACACCAGCTACATAAGTGACTTTTTGAAAAGCAAGACTGCTGCCATATCTCAGGTCATACATTTTCTCACTAAAAATACTTTGGTACGGGTGTCAGTAGGCATGAGTATTGAGCAATCAACATTGCATTGCCATCCCAGAGAAGAAACTTCCTTCAGAAGAAAGAAGATGTACATTACTTTATAGGCCACCCAAATACACGCACCACTGGTTGGCATCTTTTCCGAACAGAAAGACATACCACCTTATAAATTGGTATAGTGCCATTCTGACAGATGAACTGAAGCATAGGCAGCCAAAAGACTATGTTATAAGCATCAAATGTGGACTTCCAGCCAGGAACGTTAAAACAGCTGTCCATACTGAGCTTGCATGCCTACACTTAAGAGGATATGCTATTGCCACTCGAGCCCTGAGCTGGATTAACTTGGAAAATAAAATAGCTTCCACAGCCACATGAGGTGAGTTTTTGTAAAATCAGGATCAGTGATCTTTAAGAGCTTTGTAGAATTATAATTAGTTTAGAAATAGGCAGCCTTAAAGGGTTGTAAGAGGTTTTAAGTTCTGAGGTTTGCCAAACTTTTAAGTATGTTTGTAAACAAATGATATATTTTTTAATATTTTTTGAGAAAAGTATTCAGAATGTAACACCGATATAATTACCAAATGTCAAGGATTTTACATTTTGCAATACAAAAGATTTTTTTAAACATATAGCACCTGAAGGTCACACCATCCTCACTGAAGTACTGAGCATCAGCTTTATTTAGCTGGGTTGTTTCATTTTCAGAACACTTCACTCAAATTCTATGGCCCAATGTTTTCCTTCTGTTTAGTGTACCCCCTCCCCACCCCCCACCAACCCAACAGTCACACACACTTGGGCACTGGCAGAACTTGCCCTGAAAGTGAAGTCCCATTGAATTGAAAAAGTAAACACCTGATAGATGTAGTTGTAACACTAGGCGAATGAATTGGAAAGCAATGTAATACATTTCTTCTGTCCTCTTGACTCTGTAGTCTGCCTTTTACCTTCTAATCCATCTCATCGAGACTTAAAATGTTCCAAATCTTTGAGCAGCTTCAAGCTGCCATGTTTGTTTAAGCAACCTGCCAGATATATAAATGTTTGCTTTTCCTCGTTAGCACAGAATTTACCCACAACACAAAAGAATATAACTTATCTAAGTCCTAATATGAGTAATACTGTATTTACTTGGATCCAGGGCAACTTTGAATTTAATATAACCTCCCAATAATTAGACGCTATACATGGAAAAACTATAAGTTTGTTATAAGTTTCCATATATAGAATCTAATTAGTGGAAAGTCATCTTAAATTCATTTCCCTTTCCCGCCCCCCACCAATCTGCTGAGCCAAAGAAAGCAGCATTGGGGAACCGGGGCAGGGTGAGGGGTCAGACCCCCCCCCCCTTGCTCCTCTCCCCCCATGCTTGTCCCCCCTGTGCCAACCCCCCCTGCTATGTCTCCGAACCATGTGGTCCCTGCCCCCACCACCCGGGGATGCCTGCCCCTGCCCTTGGAGAGGCAAGAACCTCTTCCTGTGCCTGCCCCACCAAACCCTGCTCCCCTCCCTTCCCACCCCATCCTTACCTTCTACTGCAACTCCATTCTAGATCAGGACATTCAGCAGCAGCTATGGCCCCAGCCAGCCCAGGGCTCAGACTAAAGCCAGATACCACCTGCCCCAGGTCAGTACTTGAATCCAAGATGAGTCCCCCACTCCCCCTCCCACCATGCCGACTGGAAGAAAGACCTCATCTTGGATTTGAATCAACATGGTAGTTCCATACAAGTGATAGCTTAAAGATCCAATCTCTCTTACTCATAGAAGTACTCATGAGTAAAAGTACTCATTTACTCATCCTCATTTTCTTACCCATAGAAAAGCACTGTTGAAAAAAGCAATACCCAAATTGCCAACAGAAAACCCTTGCTTTGAGCCCTGAAAGGCCATAAATTGTATAAACTATAAAATAAAAAGCCTACAAAAACAAAAAAACCCCCAAAGTTTCAGCAATTTTAGATCCATTTGTTTGTTTTAACTACTCTCTCTGCAACCCTTGTTCAGCTAGATTCACAAGCTTAAATTTTACCAAAGGTGGGTACCAAGAACTAGATAAAAGGGACTCATTTTCTGAGTAGCTGCACTTCTGTAACAATGAATTGGAAGTTAATGAGGTGCCACAGTGTAAATCAGAGCATAATTTGTTCTGTGAATACAGGATGACACGTGTATACATAGCTGCAACTCGCTTTCTCTCCAATAATTGTTTATATTTTTTTCATCTCTTCATTAACTGTTTTATGAAAACATGCTCAGAGCACCTTGGCAATGGGCACGCTTGTACTATGACATGGATTTCACAGCCCTGACCTTGCTTCCCTCTCCCCACAATACCTAACCTCTTCCTCTCAAGCTGCTCATCTCTTTTGTCCCCAGATCACTCATTGTATATAGGTCCTTCCTCCTGACCTCTACCCCATTTGCTCCCAAAGCTCACCATCTATTTTGGCAAATGGAGGGAGGGACCAACTGCCAGGGTTACTAAATGAACCACAGAACTAGTGTTGCTTCATCATAATACCGACACACTTTGGACTCCTTAGCATTTTCACAGCAATATTACTTAATCAAGAATGGAGTGAGGGTAAATAAAATACTTTGTTGCATCATTTTTTTTAACGTGATGATCTGTAACACTAACAAAATATACTGTACCAAACTTGAAAATCACCAATACCAAAAAAATTTGCCTGAAGAACTGGCTTATAAAATGGTTAAATGGTTTTTAAGGAAAGGAGAACTTCTCTTACAAGATAAAGTAATTTCATTTCTTATACAAAACACTAATGTAAAATTGGAAAACAATAATTTGCCTTATAAATATGTTCAGGGTCAGTTACGGTCTCTAAAACCCTACATGGTCTGAAACTCAGTTATCTGAATTAATCACATGCCTCCCCTAACTGGAAGCATTAACTAATGGGTCACTCTTACTATCTGTACACAGGTCTAAACCATCAAGCACCAGGTGTAAGCTGTTAACAGCTTGGGGTACTGTCATTTTGTCAAGTGCCCACAAGAGACTGATCTTTTAAGTTTCATGGCCTGCTTTTTAAAATCCTTTGTAAAGTTACCAATGATTTTATAATTTCTAAAATACATTTCTGAATACAACTTGGGGAAGGAGCATATCAAATGATCCACAGGACACTGTTGTTATAACCACCCTATGCTAAAGGCAGGCTGACACAGGTTTAAAATGCAACACATTATTATTACACCAACCACTCAAAGGGACACGGCTGACTTTAAAAATAATTTATCCATGTAGAAACTCCTACAGAAAATTGGTAGTAGCAATACCAACCCGAACTGTCACTGAAAAAGACCCTCTGGTTATTTACTCTTATAACCCCTGCATACAGCTGGTAACAAGGTTTTCCTTATATATACAGCCAATTTTATGTTTTTAAGAGGTTTTTGAGGTTACTAAGACCTGAGTAAACAAAGGTTTGGCTAGGATGATATAGTTAGGGATGGATCTACTTTGAGCAGGGAGTTGGACTAAATCAACATTTGTCAACCCTTGTGTCACAACCCAAAAATGGGTTGCAAGAATATATGAAAGATTCACGAACAAACTTTAAAAAAGCTTAACAAACTTTAAAAATGGATTCGCCTTTAAAAAAGAAAAATGTAGAAAACCATGGTTTTTCCCTTCCATGGCAGAGTTCCAACCTGCAAGGGGCTCCGTGGGGTCCCCCATGCCCCGCACACACACACTGTGGGGCTGGGGCCTGGGGGCAGTAGGTTGGGAGTGAGGGGCACTGGGTCAGAACTGGCCATCCATGCTTAAAAATGGGTCCTGGTACAAAAGAACTTGAGAACCACTGGAATAGATGACCTCTGGAGGTCCATCTGAATCCTTATTTTCTCTAATTCTGTTACTTTCTGAGACTTTTACAGGCAGAAGGTATAAGACAAGCACAAGAAAATATGACCGTTTCACTACTTGGCAGAGCTACTCAGGGATAACACACAGGTGTATCTTGCAGCTGCATAGGGGTGATAGACTAGATCACCATTTCTCAACTGGTGGGTCATAACCCAAAAGTGGGTCACAAGAATATATGAAAGGTTGTGAACATACTTAAAAAAAGGATCAACAGACTTTAAAAATGGACTCTCCTTTAAAGGAGAAAAACATGGGAAACTGTGGCTTTTCCCTTGCAGGCTGGCAGAGTTTCAGCCTGCAAGGGGCTGCTTGGGGCCCCCCCATGTCCCACATACCCACCCCCTGCCTCTCACACTAGGGGGGCTGGGACCTGGGGGCATGGGGTAGCAGGTCAGGAGTGAGGGGCACTGGGTCAGGACTGGCCATCGATATTTACAAATGGGTCCTGGAACAAAAAGGGTTGAGAACCACTGGATGAGATCCCAGTCCTGTGATCCCAGGCAGCAGCTGCAAGTACCTTCAACTCAGATTTGGAGAAGGGGCTGGGGATGGCTCGCTGCCCTCCCCCCCTCAACTGCCTAAGGGATGCACCTTACCTAGGTAAAGCGATGCATTTTCTTTCTTGACATTGTCATCTAGGTAGGTTGGTCCCAGGGTGTAGATGGGTGTGGAGCCCATGCCAATGAGGATCTGGGCACAAATGAATAAAGCTACATAGAGGGCATGATCCTTCCCACCAGAGTCCTTGACACAGGCGGGTGAGTCCAAAGGGTCCCTGGTGGTATTGTTACCAGTCAGGCACAAGCCCTCGTTGGAGACGGAGGAGTTGAGCTCTTGGATCTGGTAGGGCGGGGAGATGAAGTGAGGTAAGGCAAAGAGTGCAGCCCCCAGCGCGATGAAAAACCCACCTACGGCCAGCCACAGCGGCCTGCGCCCGCGCCCCCCGAAGTAGCTGATGAACACCACGACCACCAGGCTGCCCACGTCGAAGCAGCTGACCAGCAGCCCGGCCTCGGAGCTCTTCAGGCTGTAGCGCCGCTCGATGGTGGTGATGACGCTGCTCAGGTAGCCCGAGACCATGAGGGACTGGATGAAGGTGAGGAAGCACATGCAGGCCAGGAAGCAGCGCGAGTCCGCCAGCGCCCCGCCCACGCACCGGCTCCCCGCCAGGGCCGGGCGCGCCGA